GAGGACTTGTTGGGATCAAATCTTGGTCCGGTTTTACTTTTGGTTACTTGGTGCAGTGGGGTATTCAAAATAAACTTCATCTTGAAACTACTTTGGCTAGCTTGACCTCCTAACTCAAAAATCTGGTCAGGACTGGAAAGCTGGCGGAACAATGCTTGGGAATGTGAGACCCTATGACCCTGTTCCACCAGCCACTGAATCACTTGACCTTCAGAAGTACCCACTCAAGCTGGCCACGGTCACCAAGGATGACACCAAAAAGGGTTGGGCAAAGTACAAAATTGCACTTGGCAATGAGGTGCGAAGCCGGCACATGTCTGACCCGATTCATGGAGGGATGTGGCGAGATCTCGTTTTGGACTTCGACAAGAAGTTACTGGTTCAATGTGTATGACTCGTATGACCCTGACTTCTCAAAAAAAATCGGATTTTGACGATAACGCAGTACATGTATGTATTTTACTATCATAATACATTACAACATAGTAAGGTCATAGAGAATAAAACAATTGTAGCTATATTGTTGCTATATTGTTGCTATATTGGTTTGTTATGTTGCCTTTTCAAGCGGTCACCCAGAACACGTCTTAGTTATATAATCATTATTTTCTGATTTCCACCCCACGCCCAGGTTTTGTGCCAACATGGCCGCCGTCCAGGAAGCCTTGGTTCCACATGAGGAGGCCCCGGAAGCTGCGCCAGGTCCAGCGAAGTGGACTGAGAGTGAACCAAAGAATTTGGACAGCCTTTTGGAGACTCACATCATCGAGAACAAAATCGGTGGTCGTGTTGCGGGCACCAGTCTGTATCTAACCTTAGCCAAGAAGAGGGATGGAACAGAAACCGATGTGGTCGAGAATCAAAAGTACAAACTTTACCTGGTGTCCTGTCTTCATGGGTTTTTGATTTCTATAGGCAACCACAATAATGTGATATGTTTGAGTCAAAATCATTAGTCATACATGGTTTGTGCTGAGTTAAATGGTGGGTTTGTTAGCTCATCGCTGTGCATGGCCAAGGTGAGCCATCAAGATGATTTGACCCTGTCCGACAAGGAGTTTCAAATCGCCCATGGGAAGTCAAGCTTCATGAAGCCCGAGCGGGTGGCAAAGATTTCGAGGGAAAACACTGGATTAGGCCAGCTGAGGTTTCTGTCTTGTGTGCTAGGCAATCTTTAAAAAACACACAGTGATTGCAAAGGGCAGATTGGACAACCTGGTTTGAAAAGATTCCTGTTGCTACCTCAGCTGATTTGGTCAAACTTGCGGTGGACAAAAGCCCTGGGACTGGACACCTGTCGCTCTTTCCATAGCAGCCATGGAGTTGGGTGATGTCTTGGCTAAGTATGGGTTTCGACAGGAGCTTGAATTGCTCAATTTTCACTTTGATTTCTGTTTGCCATACACATCGGTTTTACAATATGGACCAAACCAGAATGATATCTTACCTGCAGACTGAAGGACCTGAACGCAGCCTTGGACAGAAGCCCTGATGCTTTGGTGACACCAGAGCCATCCAACAGGGTCTCTTCCCAAGGTATGTTGTTTTTCCGGTTTTACCAATGTTTCAAGGTCCAATCTTTGTTCCCAGTTTGTCTTGTCATTTCTCTGATTTTCAGCTCGCCTCTCAGGTGGCGTCGCCTCGTGACTCTGACCCTGGAAAGAGCCGAATGCCTGTGAACAAACAGCCAGCACTGCCTTTGAATACTTTCAATGCAACTGGTAGGGATAAGAAGGCTCAGCTTTCCCCAGAGCAAGTTGCTGACTTGAGGTCTGATATCTCTCGTGCCATGGGAGATGTTGGTAAGGTTCGTCGCAAAAAAGCTGCTCCTGCGGATGCTGCTGCTGATGCCCCTGTTTCAGAGCCAGTGGAACCAAGTGCTAGCACAAAACCTAGGGCTCCCAGAGGAACCTATGCACGCAAAGCTGCTCAGGCCGTACTTGACTCTTTAACCACAGCAGCACCAAAGGCAAAGGCAAAGGCAAGCAAGGTGAGCAAGGGCAAAGGGGACTCAAAGCGGGGCAGGCCTGCTGCAAAGTCTAAGGGAACAGCAAGGTCGTCCACGTCCAAGTGTGGAAAGGGTGCTGTTCTTAAGAGGCCAGCAGGAAAGGCAACTGCTGAAACCACCGCCAACAAGGCCAGGGTTTTTGTTTTTGCACAATTTGCTAATTAAAGGAGGGTCTCGAGCTAATTTTGTTTCTTGAAAGTTTGAATCTCGGTGTCCCTCGGCTTTGGTCTCTGTTCATGGAATTTTCTCCTGAGGCAGGCACCAAGAAGAAGCTGGATCGTGTCTCAGAGGACAGTCTGCTGGCTTGGGCAGCTGGTTTACTCAATCATTCTTTTTCCTTTCACACGGGTGAAAACTTGATAATTCATAAGCTCGTAACCCTGACTTGATTCATAACCCTGGGGACATTCTAATGGGTATGTAATGGGTAGCTCATATTTTGTTAACCCCAATTTGATTCATAACCCTTGGGTAATTTGCAGTGGGGCAACACACTATTGCCAATTTCCACATGCTCTGCCAGGACAGCGAGGTGGATGCTGAGGATCTCTTCGGGTCTGAGAAGGACTCTGATTCTGAGATGGCCACTACCCAGGAGTTGCCAGGAAAGGGTGATGAGGAGGAGCCGGTGGCATCCCCCAATTCCAACCATGAGGGTGTTTCTGGAGATGAGGGTGGTTCCCGATCGGATGAAGATTCCAATGATGAGTCGACTGAGAAGGTTCCCAAGGGAAAGGATTCCAGCAAGGGATCCTGTCCAGACATGCGATCCCTCTACTGGAGTGTGATCCACGAAGAGCAGAAGAAGATCAAAAAGTCAAACCCAGAAATGCCTGGCCTGGGCGCGAAGTGTTGAAGTTGGCACGCAAAGCGTCCCTAGTCATTGAATCAACCAAAACAAATCTTATATAAAACAAAATAAAACAATTCAATTTGGTTTCAACAATTCCCCACGTGGCCATGTTGAGCTTCCATCCCAGAATCATTTTTTTTGAGGTCCTAACCTGTGCCTCTCAGGTGGGAGACGCATCCGGACCGCATGAATGTCATCAAGAACTTGTCGAAGAGTGAGGTCAGCCGCAGGCGAATCAAAATGCCAAAGGCATGAGCACCAGATCACTTGAAGCCGAATCTACCGAGACCCAATACACGGGGTGATGGTTTTTAAAAAAAACAATGTCCCAAGTGTTGTATAGACTACCTTTAACTTTGTTTGATGGGGATCCCTTTATTTTTGTTTGACCGACCCACCTCCTACTGTCTCAGCTGGTAGTTTTGAACCAAAGTTGAAAGTGGCCCTGGGGCCATGTCAAACCTTAGGTGTGTCAAGTGTCTTGTGGGTTAGAAGGTTCCCATAAGACTGGGGTACCGCTCCATGCTGAACATGCAGCATGGTGGCGTCGCTAGTTCCGGAAGCATGGGGTCACCGAAGGAGTGGTGGCAAGCGCTAGAACAAAAAAGTCCAACCTGTGAGACTTGTGCGCCACATTTTTTCGTGCCTTGGAACAACGGTGTTGAAAGCAAACTGGTTGATTTGACAGAGGTTTTTTCGTTTTGATGGATATGTTTTGGGAGGTGACCCGCTGGCTTGCACCATTCCGTGCAAGTGGACCACTGACACCTTCAACGTGGTCTTGGAAATCCAGTCCGAAAGTTCGAAGGCTACAAGTGATGCTGAGCCATGCAGCTTGCGCGATTTGCTGCATGAGCTGGAGGAAAACAACATCGTTGATGTCTCTTTGCATTCGCATACGGTTGAAAGACCTGGCCCATGTGCTGAGCCTGCCAATGGCTCCTAGACTACCATTTCACCCATTTGTTCAGCAATTATTTCAATTACCGGTCTATAGATCCTTTGGTAAAATGGTTGCCTTGCTCAGGTGCTGACTTCTACGTCGTGAAGCCTGGCAACACCGTGCCACTGTTTTCTTATACGCCCGGGGCCACCAATTTGAAGTTCTCAACCATTGCGAGCGCCTTCACTCGTGAGGCTTGGGATATCCAGCAAGAATCTGAAAACAACAACTGGAATGAGAAAATCAACCAGGTTGATGGTCATGGTGTAAAAATTAAATACACTGACTTACAAGGGGATAGATTGTCACATGGTGTTCAGGTTTTGGATGCCAGCGCTACTTTGTCCCGACACTGGCGAATGTCTTTTTCCAAGGCAGACAAGGACCCACTACCAAACAATTTGTTTTTGATCACTCTATTGATTTTAAATGGGAACCTGAACCTACACCAGCCCTGCGTATAATCCCATTGAGGAGCTGACGCCTCGTGGCTTGGCATTGGAATGATGGCGTCACAGCCATGTGCCAGGTTTGTGCTAAAGTGATATCGGCATCGAACAATGTTTTTCCATTCGCATCCGCGAAAAACAACCTGAGGTAAACCGTTATATTTCTTGAAGGAGTCCATCACCATGAACGCTGGTGATGTTTTGCGGTTGGTCTAACCGAAAGTTTGGGATGCATTCTCATGGGATGCTTTGGGTCTTTCAGGAACTACCAGCGGTTGTTCCTTACATGTGAGTACATGGCGTGAGCCTCGAAGGCTTAGTGCCAAGGTGGGGTGAACTGAATAGATTCAGATATGATTCAGATAATGTACAAAACATAGTACCCTATTACCCTATATGTTGGGAATTATATCAGAATCTGAGTTGCTGTTATGGGCCTACCTCTGGCAATGCCGTGAGCACCATGCCATTTGGAGACATACTTCGATCAACTGTGAAACATGCGAAGGGGGCGTGCAAAAAGGTGCAGTCTTCAGCGGTGACATGAAACATGAAGTCGTCAATGCCAGGGAGATTCAGGGAGCGAATAAAATGAAATAGGGATCGATTAGAAGGAAATTGACTTATATATGTTTGTTTAAAGGAAAGTGCTTGACCATTTCCGCGCCTGAAACGATGCCTGACATTTACGTTGGGTTAAACACACCTCAGTTGTTTGCACGCTGGGTTAAATCATGCAAAACTGAGGCAGCGAGGTCTTTCGCAGCGACGCGGAAGATGTGCACCGCAGCTCGGCAGTGATAGGCCTCTTCTGTTTTTTGTGGGGTCAACGGGAGGACACCCATAAGATGTTTGTTTTTTGTTTTCGTATAGGGAACATGGATGAAGATGGTGTTGAGTATGGGATTTGATGGTGATATCACCAGAAGTGCGGGGATGAACACCCTTGAGGCGTCCATCGTATGGCGATCTTGCTAGAATCTAATAGGGAAAAAGATGGGAAAGCGATGATTTACTCCATCAATCGTTTTGGGTACTCCATTTTCACACCCAAAAATTGCAGATCTTGGAGATTGGACGGAAAGTTGTGATTGATGCTTACAATGACTGGTTGTTTTCACCCGCAACTATAATATCAATAGCTATCACGGGGTGGCATCATCCAAGTATTACCATCCAAGTTGAGGACTGGCTGCAGGAAGTGACGCTACAATGTCTGGGTTTGGACCCTAATCGATTTGGACTTCAACCATCGCACTTTGAGAAGAGCACAAAAAACCTGGCTACCTGGCATGTGTTCTTGTTGGAAATAGTAGTTCGGGATGCGAAGCCAGACAACTTTGACTCGAGCGACAAGGGTGACAAGGGTAGATCGGTGGTGACAGATGCAGACCTGTGACAACATCCACACAGCCGACACGTCCCTGTGGTCTCATGCTGAGCAAAGAAAGCCCTTTGTTTAATCCATCATCTTCAGGACAGACCTGTCGGATAGGTCGTAAAATCACCCCAAAACAAAGTAAAATCACCCAAACATGACCTATCTAAGAGGTAACTGGAAGGTTACAGCCGGTTATGTTAGTCATTTGCACCAACATTGTCAGGACAGTCACTATAGTCATCCTAAACTTATAAATTACATTAAATTATATACTATGAATCCCAAAGTTTGTTGGTTACCCATCAGGGTAAGACCCATGGTTTCCCTTAGTGTCATCACCTGGTCGATTCGGTCACTCAGGGCATGGGAAGGGATATTGGTCATCCAAATGATCATCTAAAAAGAATGGATAAAATAAAATGGTGATTTAACGGTGATTGACCATTAAACAGAATCTTACTGGTGCTTAGCAGCGAATGAGGGAATGATCCATAATCACTAGTAATAATCATCCCATTCCCCCAGCAACCCATCCATTCCCTACGTTTAGCACCAGTAAGGAATAGAACAACACATGGTGATTTCAAGCTGGTTAGATACTTACCGTGATAGCACGTGAATAAGGGAGACCATGGTGATACGGCCAGCACTGAACATTTGGTGGAATTCTGAGAACAGTCAGAAATCTGAAGTGGACCATATTGCAATAATGTAGGCAAGAGCTCACAACACCTGAATCATGTTTTTTTTCTTAAACTTACGAGCTATACACCTTTCGAGATTAAGTGTGGATGCTTTCCAAAAATCTACCGTACTCAATTCACACTTGCATATGTCTGATGGTCAATAGTTTATCATGATTATTTAGCACAGAGTTCAGGATTTATCATGGTTGCCCCATGGTTGTCATACCACAGAATTCACAGAGATCTTTCCAGGTTTTGATCAAGGCCTGGCCTCACCGGTCACGGAGCAACGGTGTTTGGAGCTGGTTCGGGATGAGTACCCAATAGGTCAATAGGATTCAATTGGGCTATCACATCTCATCATACTATAGTTGGTTGATAGTTGGTTGATGGCTTTCCCTACTATGGGAAATAGATGGAAATAGTATAAGTACACACATCATCAAACATCCCCAAATTTTCAGGCTTTCGTTTCACTCCCATCAAACATCCCCAACCAGGCGCCATCGTTTCACTCACGCGCGACCTCGAAACGAGGTGCCATGGAGCGTGAGTTCGAACGCTTGGCACAAGACTTGCCTCACGAGCACGACGACGAGGCGTAGATTTGTCGATTCCGACGCGGTGGTAGCGATGGATCTGTGAAATTCGGAGGCGTAGCGATGGAACACATCGTGATTAATAGTGGTGAAAATAGTGGTGGTTAGTAGTGGTGAAAAATGGTGGTGAATATAGTGGTGAATATAGTGGATAAAGAAATTCAAAGTATATTACAACAGTGGATCATATGGGATATATAGCCATCTATCATGGGTCCAGAATCTAATATGGAATTACCATTTGCTGATTAAAGAATATGAAAGAAATCTATGGAAAATGGCCCATTATAGATTATGCACCAAACTGAAGAATGGTGATGTGTCATAGCTGTTATGTCATTGAACTTTTTGCTCCACAAATTTGACTGATGGATTGGTGTCTAACCCATCAACAACTGAGTGAAGGACCCGCCAAAGTTGATAACATACCACTGGCGCATCCCGGGCCAATCTCTGAGCTGAACGTAGCGCCTAATAATTACGTCCAGATGCTCATCTCACTAATCAACTACTTCGAACACAGTCCTTTCGCTTGCATTCCTAGAATTAGGATCCATGTGTAGCTGAGTTGTAAACCTACACGAATTTGTACGTAATTTTTGGGGTTCAGGGTGATACAACATACGTCCTTTAGGCCGCCTTTTAAAAGAAATGGTCATGAAGATCATTTCCGGAAGATTGATCCGAGATTTGCGAAGATCGCTCGCAACCATGGCAGATAAGACATGATTAAACTATAAGACACAATGTAACCATTTAACTGCTTGGATGTGCATTCGAACTACTAAAAGTTATCTAAGTTGCTAAAATCGTCTGAAATAGATCAGTTGTATATGAAAACTGGAAGTCACCAGCTTTATGTGGTTTATATCAATGGTTAAGTAAATACGATTGCCGGGATAATCCAAGTAGGGCAAATCACGCACAATTCATTGAGAAGATCATAGAAAGTCCACACCTCGTTGTTTGTTAAAGATTGATCTTTTGCTGATTCAATCTCCCCTTCAATAGCTTGAACCCCTTTGTTGTTTGTAAAATCACCAATTTGTTTTTTCTTGATTCACATTGATTCACTCGATGAAATCCCCAAACATCACAGAAAAATCCATATCCCAACTGATCTCCTGGCTATTCTCCAGCTAGATATCCTGGCTATTTCCCATCCACATCCATGGCATCTGTGTGCATTTCCTGTTGAGGTCCAGGAGTTGCTCTTGCGCGCGGTGCAGCGTGGCTGCCAGGCCTCGCGCTTCTGCAGGCGTGTCGTGTTTTTCTCTGGGATGATCTACAGGATGGCTTTGTAAAGCCCATTATAAGTTGGTTTATAAACCCATATTTTAATATTAACTGTCATTAATAATGTTATAAACCAAATGGTAATAATAATAATGGTGTTATATAACATTATAACTACGTATAATTAATAATATTGCCATTAATATTAATTGCCATTAATATTAATTGCCATTAACTATAGTTATAATGTTATATACTGTATATATGATGTTATATCTACCATAAAGCATCGTTTTTTCGCCACACAAAATAAACAAAAATCACAAGCTCAGTGTTCTCCCGGGCATCGATTTTTTTTAAGGATTCGGGGAAATCATGGCATCCCCAAGACTTTGCCTGTATCTAGTGATGATAGTGATGTGAATGTTGGTTTATAAACCATAGTATTGTCATATTATTGTAGAATATCCATATAGAATATTATTGTAAGTCATATTCCATTTTTTGGAAATATAATGCTGCTTGGTTGTTTGGAACCATGGAATTTTATGACTTCCACATATTGGGAATGGAATAATCGTCCCAACTGACGAAGTACATCATTTTTCAGAGGGGTAGGTATACCACCAACCAGTTATGATTTACCCAAACATTAGAATTGATTATATGAGGCAAGAGGGGGTTGATAATTATAGTGATAATTATACACTTGGTAATTATATTGAACAAAAGCATCACGTGCTTAATGACATTTATCATGTCTTATACCATTTATCCCCGATAATATTATCATATGATCGCCTGCTGCAAAATTGCATGATATGATATTTTTTGGATAAAGATGGATACAGGTAAAAATACACTATATCTCCGCATTGCAGATTTTCAGCTGAATGCACTTTTGCCTGATTACTCTCTGGTAATTTCATGTAGCTATTGAAAATGGTCATTTATATTGGATTTACCCATTGAAAATTGTGATTTTCCATAGTTATGTTAATTTACCAGAGGGTATATGAATTTCATCATGACTTCACGTCGTGACGTCACTGGAATGATGGTTCGCAAAGGTGAACTGTCTCCAAATGGCTTGATATGAAAACAACAATATTCAGGTGAGTGAATTATTATAGTTCATGATTAAGGATCCAAATTTTGGATACTATTATACTGAGTTTGATCATTTTTCATCATTATCTAAAAATTGTTTATTTATGGACGCCATACTGTAGGGATCTAGAAGTGGGTCAACTAGGAGTGGATTACTTACAAAAAGTGCAAGATGGGGCCCACAGACCGGGGCCTACTACGACGCATTGCCGTCGGGCGCAGCCCAACGGGCCAAAGGGTAGCCTTGGCATCTTCGACAACATTCCCTTTGATGCAGTGCCGTCATGGTTTGAAGGTTGTGGTGTTTCCAGAGCTGGTGGAACTAGCATATCGTCGGCTCCACCTATGCGACCTTCAGGTGGTACACCTATGGTGAATGTTTGTTTAAGTCATTTTTTGACTATTTAAATTCAAACACTAAGACTCGTGATAAGCCAACAATAATATACCAAACAAATGGGATTCATAGGTGAATCTTGTTGGTTTTCAGCAATTTTATGGTGATTTTCAGGAATATAACCGTAATTAAGTATTTTTTGGAAGATTCATAGATAATATTAAACAAATGTGGTGGATGTGGCTTTAGAAAAGGGGGTTTAACTTGAAAGAAATGGGCTTGATATAACTCTTTATAGTTGGGAAACATTGGGATTTTATGTTGGCAAAGCTGGGATATCACTACCCAAAATGGGTTTGGAACAGTTGCAATGTGGGGGCCCCCAAGATTGCAAAGTTGGTTCAGAACTAGATTTACCAGGGTTCACCGTAGATATAGCTATAGATAGATGGGGCAGCAAGCCAGATATCTGGATTGTATATTATATTTACATATATTTACCCATATATTATCTTATCTTATATTCTATTCTATTCTATTTTATTATGTCATATTATTTTATATTATATCATGTTATATCATGTTATATCATATTATATCATATTATTGTATGTTACATCATATTATAGTATATCATATTATATATATATATATCAAATATCATATCATATTATATTACATTGTATTGTATTGTATTGTGTATATATATATATATTTATAATTATATATTTATATCAACCAAGACATTGAAGGCCCAATATAGGGGATACCCTGGGGACAACTAACAAAGCAAAAACTTGAGAACCTGTGTGGGTTTCCCCGGGGAATATGATCTACAAATGCTGGTTTGTCATGGTCTGTCCAAGGTTCTCATTAATAATGCACAATTCTACAAATGGTGCCCTATACCATTGGATTGTTGTTGAGAACAACCAACCAGCCAACCAACTGATTACAAATTGTGCATCTATCACTATCCAACCATCAATCTCGTTTTCAGTGTCATCCACAAGGTTGTGCGCCCCACCATTTATGTTTGTTGCGTATGAACCCTGTCTTCTATAGTTCTCTATATCCACCATAAACCCTACCAGTCATGTTGATAATCAACCTCCTTAGCCAACAAACTGAGACACCAACCTGCAAGTACTATTAGTCTGCAGGGCGGCAAGAACTCAGCGTGTGATGCACCACCATCGGCCGGAACTTTGAGGCCGGGATCAATCACAATGATTTACATGCATGCCTCAATTTGCTCAAGATCATATGATCATTTTCCTATTGATTAATCCACCGTTGGCGGACTGCTGGTAATAAGTTGTTTCCCCACCTGCCAGGTTAGGGTCTCTAGATTTTATCAGAGTTGGCTCGGATCTCAACCGCGAGCTCCAGATCTCAGTGGCTCCGGCAGTGCCGGAATAGATGCCAGATAGAATGCCCTCAATAATGTCAGATAGAATTTCATATATATATATATATACGTATATATATGTAATTATATATACATAGTAATTATTATATATATACATACAAAAAATATATGTATGTTATGGTATGGTATGGTATGGTATAGTATGTTATGTAGTGTTATGTTGTGTTGTGTTATGTTATATTTTGTTATGTTATGTTATATTATGTTATGTTATGTATGTATGTATGTAATGTAATGTAATGTAACGGTATGTTATGTAATGTTATGTATGTATTAATGTAATGTAATGTTATGTTATGTAATGTTATATATTGTAATGTAATGTTATGTAATGTTATGTAATGTTATGTAATGTTATGTAATGTTATGTAATGGTATGTAATGTTATGTAATGTTATGTAACGTTATGTTATGTTATGTTATGTAATGTTATGTTATGTAATGTTATGTAACGTTATGTAATTGTATGAATGTTATGTAATTGTATGTAATTGTATGTAATGTATGTATGTAATGTATGTATGTATGTAGGTATGTAGGTATGTAGGTATGTAGGTATGTATGTATGTAGGTATGTAGGTATGTAGGTATGTAGGTATGTAGGTATGTAGGTATGTAGGTATGTAGGTATGTAGGTATGTAGATATGTAGATATGTAGGTATGTAGGTATGTAGGTATATAGGTATGTAGGTATGTAGGTATGTATGTATGTATGTATGTATGTATGTAATGTATGTAATGTATGTAATGTATGTAATGTATGTAATGTATGTAATGCATGTAATGCATGTAATGCATGTAATGTATGTAATGTATGTAATGTATGTATGTATGTATGTATGTATGTATGTATGTATGTATGTATGTATGTATGTAATGTATGTATGTATGTATGTACGTATGTATGTACGTATGTATGTATGTATGTATGTGTGTGTATGTATGTATATATGTATGCATGTATGTATGTATGTATGCATGTATGTTTGTAATGTTTTGTAATGTAATGTAATGTTATGTAATGTTATGTAATTGTATGAATGTTATGTAATTGTATGAATGTTATGTAATTGTATGAATTTTATGTATGTAATGTAATGTAATGTAATGTAATATAATGTAATGTAATGTAATGTAATGTATGAATGTATGTATGTATGTATGTATGTATGTATGCAATGTATGTAATGTATGTAATGTATGCAATGTATGTAATGTATGTAATGTATGTAATGTATGTAATGTATGTAATGTATGTAATGTATGTAATGTATGCAATGTATGTAATGTATGTAATGTATGTAATGTATGTAATGTATGTAATGTATGTAATGTATGTATGTAATGTAATGTAATGTAATGTAATGTAATGTAATGTAATGTATGTATGTAATGTTATACATGTATGTAATGTTATACATGTATGTAATGTTATACATGTATGTAATGTTATACATGTATGTAATGTAATCTAATCTAATCTAATGTAATGTAATGATTACTGCAATGTGATTATATACTTCCAGATGGTATATCATAATATCAGAAACTATGTCAGAATAATGAGTCAAGGCGCTCTGGACATAGCCAGGAACCTGGAACCTCCAACGCGATGTAAATTAGTATCCCACTGCCTGTTCGATACGTAAATCGATCTTGCGTCATCGTACCCTACTTTTCATAATGTAAAAAAAAAAACGTCCCAAGCACCTCTTTGGTAAATGATGTAAATCGTGATGTAAACCCTACTTTTTCGTGATGTAAATCGATGACGTTTCGATCCCTTTTTGGTTTTCTGCACCTCCCTGCGGTGATGCAGAAACCTGGACCATCCTGGACCATCCGAAAACCACAATTGTTGACCCTGGTCAGTGACAATCTTTTGCTCAAAACGACTTTGTCTGAGCAAAAGGACCCAAAAGAACAAAACGATCCAAAACCCATTTTTACGCCAAGGGGTCTCGGTGCCAGATACTTGGCATGATGCAATGGCCCAACTAGATGCAAAACTTTTGGCAAACGGGATCATGTGAGGCAAACTTAGTACACCATGCTCCTTAAAGCTATCAACAGGTATCAACGAACCATTTTGCAAACTAGATGTCAACATGTTGTGAATGAAAATGGAACATTTTCAGAGTGACAAGAGAATGCCACTGCGGGGGGGCCATTTTGGCTCAAGATCAACCCCCTGCAGTGGCGCAATGATTTTAATTTTCCTTTGCTGCCTTGTAGGGACCCAGGATGTTCCCCGCTCAAACCGCGGGCATGGCCATGACCACCTTGACGGCCATCAAGCAGCACTACCAGCTGCAACCTGCGCTATGGACGAGCTTCGTCGAGCAGGTTGGGGATCCTGGGGACGATCTCAAACTTTTGGGAGCGTTGCCTCCTCCGGTGATCGGAGCAGCGCTCGAGAGAGCCAGGCTGCCGGATGGCAGCCCCTTCACTGCAGTGCAGGCATCACATGTGGGGTTGATCTATGGCCTCACCAGGCGTATCCTGCACACTATGGCTGGAGGGGACTGGGACAGATGGACGGACACCTCACCGTTCTCAGACAACACGGCACCTCCACCCCCTGCTGCTCAACCTCAAGTGGCGGTGGACCGGAAGCTGAAGATGACCAACGTGTTGGATCAGGGGGACGACGGGGACTTTGCTGTCGAAGGCGAAGACATGAAGGCGAGGTGGTATCAGAACTACATACAAGCCATGGGCGGCTGGCCAGCGGAGGAGGAGGAACCCTCCATAGAGCAGCTCTCGGCCCTGCACAAAAGAATCAATGTGCAGAACATCGCACCATACACAGACTTCGCCATCTACGTGCCCTACGGCCAGAAGGCTGCAAGAGCTTCGAAGTACAGGACGCACGTCTTGACATCGAATGGGTACACAACAAAGGAGCTGCCAGGGCCCTCGTCGTTTGTGCAGTGGAGGGCATGCTTCAGAGTCCTCCGCACATCACTGATCATGCTAGATGCGGTAGGGCTCTCAAACCTCCATGCCTACGAGATGTTGGTGGAGCGGCTCACGAGGTTGTACCCTTCAGCTTGGCACCTCGTCTACTCAGCGGACGACTTGGCCCGGAGTTCCCACTCAAACAGGATCAGATCAAGAGTCATGATGGAAGAGAGAGCTGGGAGGCCACCCCATCCTACATGGGACCCCCGGCGCCCTTGGGACTTTGTGTACGGCATGTTGGTTCAGGACAAAGAATTCTGGCAGACTCAGGTCCACGGCCCGGCATTGGTTTGGTTGGCAGCCGGGGCAAAAGGAACACCCCGCACACCGGCGGAACAGGTTGCAGCAGAATGCCTGCAAGGGGGCATGGATGCCATCATGCCAGCTTTGGAGCCGAGCCGCAACAAGACCTCAAACGGGCCGCAACCTGCAGACTCACCGAGGGGAAGAAGGACACAGGCACGAAGGGAGGCCCGGAAGAGAAAGGTCCAAGCAGACAAGGCGGAACTTGCACAGTGGAGGTCTGGGAAGCCGGATCAAAACAAACGGGGTGGCAATCAAGTGAAACAGAAATGTTACAGTTGGAACAATGGAAATTCTCCATGTGGGGACTTGCAGCCTGGGCAGTCATGCGTGGCAAAGGTCGCAAGGGAACACCGTTGCACCATCTGCGATTCCCCAGGCCACCCATCCAGGTCGTGCCCGAACAAGAAGAGCAGTTGAGGCAGTGCGGAATCGACTCAAGTCCAGGGAGATCCAGAACGCCCCGCAGGAACATCATATCGAACAAGGCGGTGAAGAAGGGCGGCATCAATTCAGGTCCGAGTTCAGACCCATCAGATGCAGACATGGGCAATGAGGACACCTTGGACGCCATCTATGAATCCAAGACTCTGGAAGAATACAAATCCAGGAGGGTCTTTGTCTTCGTCCATCACTTTGCAGGTGAGGACGACCCGTTGTCTGAGGCGATGAAGGCACATGCACAGACAGCGGGGCTGCGCCTGAAGGTCCACAGCGTGGAGCGTGAGACAGGCAATGGAGACTTGCTTGAAGACAAACCTTACGAGGACCATCTTTTGTGGGCGAAGAGGGGCCACATTGATGCGTATCATGCAGGTTTTCCATGCAACACATTTTCGCGTCTGCGGTTCCGGAAGTCGCCTGGTATGCCAAAACCTATCAGGACGAAACGGGAACCTTATGGCCTGCGCACGAACTCAGCAGCAGAACAGAAAGTTTGTGACGAAGGCACCATCATGGCTTCAAGGGCAATCACCATGGCAAAGACCGTAGCCAACAGAAATCGGCCGGGGAAGATCCAAAGCATTGCAACTTTGGAAAATCCTCCCCCCTCTACGATCGAGGACCACTTGTCTGCCTGGGAGTTGCCGGAGATGGGAGACTTCATCAACGACACGAAGGTTACCACAGCACGATTCAACACGTGCATCTACGAGTCCGACATCCCGACGGGCCGCAAACATTTCAAACCGCAACAGTTTTCAGGAAGCATGATCGGCCTGAAGGAATTGAATGGTGAATGTCAGCGCGGAGACTCTTCAAACCACGAGTTCATTGTGGGCAAGGAGAAGTCCAGGGCATCAGGCAAGTATCCAGGCGAGCTGTGCAACAAGTACGCCAAGCTCGCAATCGCTCAGCTGGACCTCATGGCCAAGGAAGAGTTCCTGTCCATACGCAGGGAAAAGTTGCAGAAGGTCATCGACGAACACAAGAGCAAGTCCGAAGGAAGCCAGTCGAGCTCCTCCAGCAACACCACGGACGAATCGTCCACGAGCAGCCGTGACGAAGATC